TTGGCCCGAAGCCTGGTCCAAGGCGCACAAAAATCCCCTAAATTGTAAAAAACACATACTAGTATATTATAGTACATTATAGTACAACACTGCGGCCCAAGCAAGGGCTTCCAACGAAAAGGCATGGCACCAAGTCACTGAGCACCTTGCATTTTCCGGTGAGACTTTAGAGGAAGACATACATTTGGCTGTTGTCCCTAGCCAAACCCCCTAGTTTTGCCGTACAGGTTGGGGCCAAAGAGCCTTTGAGGAGCAGGGTTTACCAGGTCCAGGTAAACCGCGCTGGTGGTGGCAGCTGTTGCGTTGATTACCCATCTACTCGCAGGAAACGGAGGATCATATTTGGCGGCTACTGTATCGTGGGACCTTTGCCCCACAGGACCTTTGCCCTCACGATTGTTCTTCTCGGGGTTTCAAGACGTAGCTGATTCGTGGGATAGCTAGGATGACTTCACACACTCGTCACGGCGTTAAGCATATCTCGGTCACAGGAAACATTAAGTTTTTGAGCACCTGGTACAAGCCGTGCCTGAAACCCTGGACGTCCTAAGCCTTCCCTCCCTCCCTCTCCTCACGTCTTACACTCGTGCACAAAAGACGATCAACATCATGCTGAGGGTTAACCCACACGCTCACTCCGCACGGCAAACACAAAAACAGACAGGCCAAGCTCGACGAAGAGCTGGAGCGCCAAGAGTCCGAGCGACGCCAGGTGCTGTTTGAATTGAATTCGGATCCCTTGTCGGGCTCCTCTTGTACATGACTCGTTATCAGATGAGGCAGCCTAGGTGCGAGCCAGTTTGAGAACCAAAACTTGTCTTGGCCGTTATGTATGATAAAACCGATAAGCCGAAATCAAGCCATGGATTCCTCGTATGACGAGAAGCAAGTGTAGCTGCGAGCTCTCAACCTCAATCTACGAGCTGGTGGAGGGTGCGTGCTGCTGAAGCAGGGCATGAATTGCGGCATGTGAATGAGTAGGATGGTTGCTTGATGCTTCGCGAGTGCAGATCACTTTTGCGGCAGTTGATGGACCAGTTTGGGCAAACACCTTGCTGCAAACAGGCGCGCTGCTGCTATGATGATGTTGAGGACTCACTGATGTTTCTGGGCTGCAGAGCAGGGTTAGGATCTCCTGTTGTTGCAGATGTTTGTGTTGCTACTGTGCTACTGGTAGCATGTTTGTTCAGGGTCCTGTTCGTCTTCTGTGCTTACTCCGTCTTGTTCCCTGCTGTCTTTGCAGTTGCAGTCCAGCTGGAGGGCCCCCCCAGAGGTTTCCGCATGCAACCAGACTTGTCTCTATTCCGACCCAAAGAGGAAAGTCGGTGCAGGCACTTGGCGGACTTGGTGCCGACAGTCGGTCACGCGCATTTAGCATCAAAGATTTCAATCTTGAAGGATTCAGCAATGCTTTTTAGCAGATCAGCTCACTCACTTTGGGCCAAACACCATTAGATAAAGAAGGACGGAGCCGCCATGGCTGCGGTATGCTTATATGTGCATTTACATTTATTTACACATATATGTATATACACCCCAAGGTCTGAACGCTTGGTTTCAAGATACGAGCTCAACATGCAAGTCACGCAGCGCGCCTGCTTTGAGTACACGACTCAGACCATGAGGCCATGAACCAAAGGAGAGTATCCCCAGACCACGAAGTGCTGAAGCCTTCGCAGTCCCGAAGCCCTGATTTCAAAGAACAAGAGCGCTTCGGTTCACTTCCCAACACAGCCTCAACACAAACCCCAAGCTCAAAGGTCCGGCACTGCTCCTCCTGATCCGAGCCCCGTGACCTCGGATTGCGAAGAAGAAGCAGCAGATTAGGTTAGGGGCTTGCTTGGTTTTCAATCATCGAGCCTCAAGACTGATTCAGTTAATTGAAATCAGATGTCGGGTTGCAGTCAAACTAGATTTTGCCCGGAGAATAACAAGATAACAAGTGGGGGTTAGGGTGTGGGCCGTGCAACGTCTATTGTGGGTCTACAACAGTAAATCCGGGGCAGTGAAAGCTTCGTCGAGAGTTTTGCGTGGAGCAGCTTTAGTAGCGGAATGTAGTAATTAGCAGCAGCATTGGTTCCGAGTTCCGAGAGTTGCAGCCAGTTTCGACTTTTACAGTTTAGCTTAGCTCTGAGATAGTGCAAGCCAAAGGCATGCATAACACCCGTCTCACCGGCCACACAGGGAATGTATCTGGGAGCATCGATCAAGACATGGGCGTGCCGAGGTTCTGAGCATTTAGGTGCACCGACGCATCGACGTCTTAGGCGGACTGATTGACGGCTGGCCCGGCCAGGATCCGCAATCTGAAGAGGAATGTGACCGGAACTATTGGATGCCGACCTCGGAGGACTGCCTTTATCAGCGAGAGGAGAAGGGGACGGTTCGTGCATGGTACATTGGAAAGTTCACGAGCGTTGTTTGCTTGGAAAATCGGCTAACTACACAAGCACGTAACGATACCTCGCGTTCGCATGGATGTGCAGACTTCCTCCTTCTGGAGTTTTACTTTGGAGTAAGGCTGTGGATGAGGCGTAGAGGCTTAGAGTCCTTCGGTTCTGCCGAAAGCTTCGGTGTGTGTCAACTGACGACTTGCCCTTCTCTCGGAAGCCTTACTACTAACCAAGGCGTGCTGGGGGGGGGTTCTTGGAGATCCTGATGGTCTTTGTGAGCAGATTCTTGCTTTTGTAGGGTTTGGGTGGCATGACTCCCATATCTTTCAAATTGATATTTTGGGATTGTTTTAATTAGTTGCGACAAGTTCTCTCGTCATTGTATCGACTGGCCAGTAGTTGTGTTGTCGTGGCATTCGTTTCTGGCAATGTGATTCATCCGGCAGTGTTGCGTGTTAGTCATCATGTTGCTGCCGTGTTTGCTGGTGTTTCTGGTTGTGTGTGGGTGTGTGCGCGTGCGCATCGTTGTCGTTGCCTTTTTGTTGGGGGTGTTGTTGCTGCGGTTGTTGTTAGTCTCTGCTATGGGTGTCGTCAATACCTATCCAGTAGCATGATGAGTCATGATCATTACATTGCCTTGGTCGTTGATTTTGTTTACCAGGATTTTTGTCATGAATCGAATCGCTTCATGTATTGTGTCGCTGTGAATACTGGCCTGGAAGGTAGCAGGCTTAAGCAAAGCGTCCCCGAAGGCTTTCGGTCTGAGCAGTGCTGACCATGGAAGTTCGAGATGCGAGCAAGTTGAGTAAGTCTCTTGTCTTCCTCGTCGGCTCAACCAGCGAGTTGGTTCTTCATCCTCGAAGCCTGCCAGCAATGCAGCACAAAATCTCACTTACCACGGCATATCAAACTGTGTGGCTGAGGGGTCGGGCATGGGCTCTGTGACACAGAGCTATAGGCCAAATATATCTGATCTGGGTTTGAGCTTGCTTCTGAGCGTTTGGTAGACGCCAGGAGCTGGCGATGATGGTACGCATGGTGCCTTTGCGTGCTTTTCATGTGCTGAAGGTTCACACGCGGATGGCCGTTGAGTAGGGCAGGTGGGTGTCGGAATTCACAGCAGAGGGCATGCTCGAGATAGCTTTTGGACCCTAGGGAACCTGCAGGATCATTTGTTCGTCGGATGCTGCTATGTTCTAGCATGCTGAAGGTAGCAAAGGCAGACGCAATAATGCATCACAGGCGCAGTGTCAGTCACGCTGAATCATAGATTTATGTCGGCCCTGAACAACAACGGCCCGCTGCACACTAAGGTTTGTTGTGTAGGATACTACCTGAATCCTGCTTGTCATTGACCTTCGTAAGCAAGGAAGTTCAGTGATCAGTCTTACACAACCCCCTGTCCGTGACAGCATGGAAGCCGATCAACCTTTCAGTGACACGTTCTGGCCGACATGCATTCAAGCAGAACAACCGGTAATTCTATTTTGATGATGAGGCGGCTTAAAACCGGACAGATCCCCAAGTATAAACGCTCAGGGCGCAGAACACACAAGAGCGTTGAGCATCATACACAACTCCACGCCAGGGAGAGCTGCCCCACATTATGGGCGACCACTTCAACATGGTGGGCGCACCCTGGGATTTCTCCTTTTCTGAAGCGCAAATGTACTGAGACTTCTGAAATGCTCCAGGGCATAGCCCCTTCCACGGGCGTGTTGAACGGCGAGTCGGGTAGCTTTCAGTCATTAGTCAGCGAAGTAATCACAGCCATTGCAAGGTTTGAGAGTGAGCCCAGGTTATCAGCACCAACTTATCTTTTCTGCACACTGAAGTTCGTCACAGGAGAAGACAGTCTAGATGGCTTTGTTGTTTTTGCTTGCGTGTTGTGGTGGGCACTGCACAATATGACCTTGCTTACGCAGTGTTGGAGCTTCAGATGCCTGCACTATAATGATTCTTGGACAGGCTCATTCACACTCTCACTGCTGATCGCACAGACTCACATAAGTCTCAACAAGCTGACATCCAACAGCCTTTGTGTCACCGCGCGTCCCTGCAAAGGGCAGTTTAGAGCTTCGGATACGGGAACTTGTCAAGTGTCCGAAGGAGTTCTGTTGCCTTTAGGTCAGGCAAGATCCGCCGCGCGTACCCAAAGGGGTCGCAAGGTTGCGTGCCGATTTAGCGCAGGTACGGCAGGTACGGCGCAGAAACGCACAGGCAAAGAGGTCGTTGGCGTTCGCGTAGCACTCTCATGCTGTCGCAGAGGATCACCTACAGTAAGCCTGGCATCCTTCCGGGACAGAGTGTTCGAGTAGGACAGTAACCTTACTATACCTCCACCCGCACCACACATCAGGACACATGCATACACGCATGCATGTCGTCTGCATGCATGCATCCTTGCAGATTGCTGCCTTGCCAGCTTACGGCCTTACACAGAAACGCACACACACACACACACACGCATTCTACGAACACCTACGCTGGTAAAGCATTTGCATGGGTTGGAGTCGTCCTATGAAGCGGGGGTGCTGGATGCTGCATGTGTCTCCTCAATGACAGCATTGGGCAGCTGCTTGGACGTCTCCAGCTCAGCCAGCTGCAATGAGACGCACGAGAGCCGCGGGCAGTGTACCCGCCATGATCAATGCGCGGAGACTCCTCTTTGACCGCAGGGCGCGATACCCGCTTAGTTTTGCAATGCTGCCGCTTCTTCCAGCCCTGGTTCGACAGGTGCAGCTTTGCTGCGCCGGTGCGGCAGTGCAGCGCCTGGCTCTACCGGAAGTCCTGGCAGATCGACGCAAGTATTTGCTGCTCTGTACACGGGGTCTCGAAGACCAGGCCGAGGCCTTGCTCTGGAGGAGCCTTGGTCGGGAGGTTCCAAGCTGGCGAATTCCTCCACCCCAAGATTTGCCGCGTGTTAGCGAAGGCCATGCAGCAGTCGGTAAGCTGGTTGTTGGGCTCGAAGACGGCGAGGAGTTTCCTTGTGGAGGCATTCCTGGAATCATCCACATTTATGCTTTGGTGGATTCTGCCACAGGGCTTTCCGATGACAAAGAAGCGGCCATGAAGCAGCTTCTCACTTGGACGGCAGGCTTCACTGCTGGGGCCTGATTAGCGTAGCCACGCAAGGCAAATACACAAATAGTAGTTGTAGCAGGGCCCTGTCGTCAACGCTTCGTAGGTGGTGGATATCAGGTTCCGCCCAATGAACATTTCTCGTTGCTGTCAAGGTCAGGATCCGTTTGTCGGGGGCTTCATGGGACTCTAATGGGAGGTCGAGTTGCGGCAAGTGGCCCATGAAGTCTAATCGAGGCATTTATGAATACTGAACCGAGATTATGCAGTACAAAGTCATGAACAACAAGAGTTTGCCTTTTCAGATACAAAATGGCCCATGGCCCCATGGCTCATGAATATGGAACGCTAGTCAGAAATGCCTCAGCCCTAAAGCGCCAATTAAGCCCAAAGACGAACATCTCGGCACAGGTTTGGGTCCGGAGTTACTGACGGCTGTCCGGCTAACTCCTGCAAGCGCGGCCACCGAAGCCACCTTCCGCGCTTCGGTCGTCCGAGACGGGGAGCACAACTTCACCTCCGAGGAGTGGGAAGAGGGGTAATCGGCCGTGCTTCGAGGGTGTTAGATACTTGTGGCAGTTTTGCCAGTCGTCGCCTCCCCATATCACGCCCTAGCTTGATTTGGGGTCCCTGCCGTCCCAGAAGGGACCGGGAAGACAAGGTTGTGCTGTTGGCGTGTTCGAACATTGTCCGAGAGTAACAAGACCATGAACTGGGCATCGCACCGAAGGTGAAACCCTGAGGTTGTGACGGCTGAAGCGGTGAAACCCGCACAACTGACCCACAAAGTCAAAGTTCCTGCAATGCTTGTGAGGAGGCCATGCCGGCGGTGGGCGGCGGTGTTGGGATGGCTATGCCGTGGAAGGCTGGGTTCAGGTTCGAACTTACAATATCGATTTAGGTGTTCGGGTGTGTATGGTTTTTGTTTACTCAGTCTGGAGTGTCTGAAGCGTACGTAAGTTCAACTTTGTAGAGGCTGCAGCTTTGCAATCTCGTGATACCGTGCGGTTTTGTTACACTCTGGGCTGCTACTTCACGACCTTTTTGAGACACAGGATTTGGAGGATGATGCCGGTTAATTTGTAAGATGCGAAAGCACGGCCCAATATCTAGAGGCTTGAAGTCATGCGGCAACATGGTGTTCATGATGCGTCCTGCCGGTAGGGAACATTTTCTTGTCTTGCTGACTTACGTGCCCATCCAGCAAAGGCAACACCAATCTCAAGACTTCATGGATACGAACTCAGGCCCTCACCACGACTATGGAAATACCTCCCAGGCTCCAAAGTTGGACTTTGTGCATCAATCCCTAGCCTAACCCTGACCGCCGGACAGTGGACTAAAGCTTGAGCCTTGGAGTTTGAGCCGAGCCCTCGTCGCGTCTCGATCGCGATCCCGAATATGAATAAACATAATTAATAGCTGCGACCGTTGAATTCCTCCTTGGTTGTTGCGGGGCTTGTAAACCTAAACGATCTAGGAGTCAGTCCAATTTGGATGTGAAGTCGTTCATGGCAGAGCGTACAACTATTGCAATCATGGCATCTTCTGAAGGTCAACCTGAAAACGTACGACATCGAGGTCACGGCGATCATCCACCGTGACACTGTGGCGAAGTTGCAACGTGATTTTCTTTAGTGTTCTCGGGCTGCTAGCGCTTGCAGCTGATGCTTCACACGTTCATTGCCACAGGTTGCTTGTGCTTGAACCAGCGAGCAAAGTAAGCCACCTTCGGCAGCGACAGGGTTGCGGGTTCCTTCATGAAAGCGATTTGCCAATTGCAGCCCCTAAGCAGTGGACCACACCAGGTGGTCTTGGGACTCTCCTGTGCGCAGCTGGGAAAGTCACGCCGAGGTGTCGGGACTTCTTCCTTTTTTCAATGTGTAATGATAAATGCATCTTCGGATTGGGGCCGAGCTGTTGGCGTGCGGCACCTGCTCCTATCTTTCAAGTGTGCTCTCGAAAAGGGCAAGCGTTTGCTTGGTTTTTTTCGGAGAGACGACAGAGGGAGCCGGACACAAAGTTTGGGATGCAAGCAAATAGAGAGCACCCAAAAGCAAACAAGCAACACTGTTATACACCTCCCGCCTACCCGCACAGAGAAAGGGAGAGAGAGAGAGAGAGAGCGAGTAGGGGGGCAACCCTCTGCCGTAACCCTGGGGAAGGAAAGAGAGAGCGAGTCAGAGATAGAACAAAATCAAGAGAGAAGGCAGAGCTATGTATGTGCTGATTACATATGTATACAACTATTGTGCTTCGGGCATGTGCGGCGGTCACTCGTGCTTTTTGTGACATCTGTCTTTGTGAGATGGTGAAGATGCGTCGAGGCAAACGTACTGCGTGATGATACGAAGACGGAGACAGCAGGAGATCCCTTGGAGTATGAGTTGCACGCAGCATCCTGTCAGGCAGCATTTTGAAAGTCATGCCATGCCGTTTGCTGTAGCTGGATGCTGGATTGCTGCTGCAATAGCCGAAAATTATGGCGTTTGCAAGCCTCACACCTTGGTGGCTCCAAGCAGGTGCCACGCAACCATCGAAGCTGCCCCGTGAGCAGCGGCCGTGGCACCTCTCTGATGCGAGGCATCTGCGCTTCTCCACAGCTCGCTTGCTACTAGTGCCTCAGCTCTGCTCTGCTTTGAGCTTAGGGCTGGTTTAATGTTCTGGTTCCCGGCTCTGGACTTGGCCACAAGGCTTCGTGTTCTGTGGTCTTAGCCTAGCAACATGTGCTTCTCCTTTGACACGGGTCGAAATCTGTCAACGTCGGAGGTAAAGCAATGAAGATGTGCCAGGCCCGTATAGTTAGAGCGTGTCAGAGTGTGATGATGAACCTTCAACTCCCCTAAGTTTCAGCCTGTGGATGAATTTGCACATCTAGGTTGCTCGTGCCCCATCCTCAGGGCCTGCCTGCTCTTTGGATAGGTTGATCTTCGGGAAGCTCTCAAACCTCACCAGTCGAGGTGTTGTGAGCATCCGGGTCATATGGTGACCAGTTTTTGCCACTCGACTACCTACATGCCATTAACTGCCATTAACATCCTGTCAAACATGTGTTTACACACATTACTTGTAGAAGCTTGCCAAACTTCTCATGCAAGTTTGTGTACTGAAGACGACCACTAGCCTCAAGCGCTTCATGCAACGACACCAAAGGAATTGGCAGAAGTATCTTCTGGAGATCGGTTGCTGGACCTTTGCGGCGGAAACTTGGCTGCACGTGGAGAGTGTTGGACTCCGATGCTGATGCTGGAAGTGATGTAGAATCTAAGGATGAATCACTGTTTCTCGGTTTGGGGTGCCCGGAGTTTTAAGGTTCAGGGTGCAGCTTTGCATCTTTCGAGGCGGAGGTGCCTTCAATCGACTCAACGCAATGGGGTCCTAGACCTTTGCTTACGAGACACCTCAAAAGACAGATCGAAAAGCGCCCTATCCTATCCCAACCAGTGCAAACCTCCGAGCGGATCTTTCAAACATGAACCACTACATTGCCACGGTCCTGGTCACAGGCATGTATGTATGTATGTATGTATGTATGTATGTATGTAGGTATGTATGTATGTATGTATGTAGGTATGTATGTATGTATGTATCTATAATATATAGTATGTATGTATATTACTTTTTATTATATTTTATTATGCATAATGTGTATTTATTTATATGTGTATCTATCTATATATATATATATATGTATATATATATATATAATTATTCATAGTGAATGATGAAAGCTGCGTGTTTGTTGCACGCTGCCTGGTGCTCAAGGCATGGGTACCATTGCGCTCGAGGCCGCTTGCTGCTTTCCTGATCTTCGGGCCGTGTCTGCGGATGCTCCTTGGGCTTCCTTCGCCTTTCAGGCAGCTTGAAAGTACTGCACTGCATGTGTATAGAGCATTCAACAGTCTTCATGTTGCACCCAGTCGATGTAGGGCCTCCAGGTTTTGCTACGCACGGCTGTGAACCGACCGTATAAGAGGCCATCTCTATGGATTCCACTGTAAGCCGCTCTTTTGCGCCCAAGGTGAGCCAGAGGGCCTGCCAGCGTGCCGAGGCCAATGTGGCTGCCGCTCGCTCCCTGGGGCTCCTTGGGCCTGGCTCGTCAGTGGAAGTCTTAGTGAGGTGCCTTGGGAGAAGAGACCCGGGGGAGCGTGGTGGGACTCGCTTGAAGGCTGTGCGTGTTCGGGCAGTGGTTACATCCCACGTTTATGGAAAAGCTTGCCAGTCGCCGTCAACGGCTCTGGTGCTGTTTGCTGCTGGGATTGTGCGCAGTCCTTTGGAATTTGCGTGTGCGGGTAGTTTCGGGAGACACGAATTTTCAGGATGTCAGATGCGAACAAGTAACATATACTCACGAGATCTAATCGACTCACTAGATTCAGCATGGCCTTGTGCAAGGGGAGTGTTGGGGTGGACGCGGTCATCGCAAGAATTCGACGTGGTGGTCTCAGAGCTTCCCTTCGGCGTAAGCATCTCGATACTGGACTCCAATGTGCTCCTCGGCTCGCATTTCTGCAAGTGGCTCGAGATGAGAACTCTAGCGCTTTCTGGAGACACAAGTCAAGGTCTCGTTTGAGCCCTATAGTACCTGCATGCGTGTTTACATTCAGCGTCAGTACTGGTTCTTTGCGAAAGAGGCCCCCGAAGGAACCGGCACCCGAACTCGGACTCGAAGTGCACAGGCTTCTCACTGCACTCCAGCGCGTGGTCCGCCCGGGTGGTCGGGTGGTGCTCATTGCACCGCGCTCCGAATCGCCAAGCTGCCCAGGTTTAGACAAGCAGACAGTTTTCTACTTTTTCCACAGAAGTTCACTAACTCCTGGCTGGAGCGATTGATTAGGGCGAATGGGTGAGGCATCGGCGATCAGATTCGCAAATTCCTGGCCAAAGCATGTTATGCATGTTTGCTTCCTCCTCCCCGGTTTGGGGATGTTTCGGGGCTTGTGTGCGATTCAAGGTCACAGCTACATCTGCACAATCATCAGCTGCACCCTGCATGGCTTAACTAGGGCGGATGGTCTATATCATAGTTTATATCAGATAAGTTAAACCGCCGGAGCTTCGGGCTGCAGCGCAGATCGCGCCTGCCTCGCACCTATGCTCCTGCACCATCGGATCAGGCATCGAAGAGCACACGCTCAGCGACAAATGGTCCGATTACCGACGATGCGATGGAAACGTGGGTGGAACTTCTGTGCACATCCTGTACTTCCGGCGTGCGAATCGTGCAATACCTGGAAAAGCAACGGCCGCCCAGTCAAGCTCCATGACTATTTTCCAACACACATTCAACACGACAGCCACAAGGAATCATGCAGAGCTGCAGGGCTGGCAGGGGAAGCAGTAGCTAAAAAGATCTCAGAGTCTGAGAACGAGCGACGGCCGAAATCAAACGCATGAGATTTCCAACCCGAACCAAGCTTCCGATCCGTGAAACTCATGAAAACTCCAGGCTAAGGTTTGTCGCACCGTTTTCGAGGAACATGTGCCGTTTGCAATGCAAGTAACTTAAAGCCAGGCAGCGCGAATGGCCGGGCATGCACACAACATTTATCACCCATCAAAGATCATAGTCTACTGACTTTCTAGCGCCTCGATAGCAGCAGTTCATTGCTCTTCCGCCTTCTCACTCCAGTTGGCATCGTGAGAGTGGAGCGTTACTCGGCCTTCGTTGCGCGCGGTTCTTCCGACAGTCAAGCTTTTGTGTCCAGCTCTCTTGGCTATGCTGTCTTTCTCTTCTCTTCACTGTTCCCTTGCTTCTTACACTTGTTTTTCTTAGTGTCTTGGGGGCGAGCATGGATCCAAGATTCGTAGGGATATCGAGACAACTGTTGTGAGCGTGGCTCTGCTTTGCAGCTTTACAGCCTGTCAGATAGAAGCAGAGGCGACAAGTCGTGGTTTCAACGGCAGCGGAAAGGGAAATTTCACTGTCCTCATTAGGCATTCTGGATACCTAATCGTAGAGCTTGAAATCTTAATCAACAGTCAGACCTGTGTGATAGCTTCTCACAGCAGGTTTGTTGAGCGCTGCCCTCCTGGACCAGACACTTCTATAGTGGACCCGTAATAAGTGCAAAAACAGCATTCGTTTTCTGCTAGTCGAACTGTTCGGAGCTGATGGCACTCGCCCCTGAGCCTGCAGCTGTGGCCGCTTTGCATGATGCCGGGTTTATCTGGATCAGCCAAATAGGTTGGCATAGTGAGAATGCTGAGATATGCTGAGCTGCCGGGGGTTGGTGTGGAGCCTGGATGTAACGATGTAATTGCTGCACCTACGCCATGTTTTCGGATGCTTTTGGGCTACCTTCTAGCTCTTGGTACTTGGTGGCAAAAGAAAATAAGAAAGACTGCCTTTGAAACATGGGTAACCGGAGTAACGGTTTTACAAAGAAGAAGCCAAGGCTAGGGGTTTGTGAAGTTGAGGGCCTGTGGTGGTTTTTTGCAGTGCACTCTAGAGAGTCCTTTGCAACTTCTTCAACTCCTGGCTTCTGTGTCTGCCGACCATTGCACCCTCAGCCTGGCAGAAGCCCGGAACCGAGGCCCCGGAACCAGGACAGCACTGCTGAAAGGAACACCAAAACAAAGACTCGACCTTACCTTGAGGGCTTTCAGGGCTCCGGAAGCGATTGGTTCCCGTGCCCAGGAGCGGATCCTTGGGGGTTTGCACGTCTCGACCTCAGATTCTGGGAGTGTGGCTTCGTTATGCAATGTTTGTACACCTTACACCCTTGCACCACTCCAAGCTTTTTGAAGTCTTTGACAACAAGCGCACACTACCATGCCATGCCCTTCGCTTTGATTTTTTTCCGAATCGAAGGTTTGCTCTTTCAGCCACAGTCTTACGCTTCAAGCTACTTTTCCGCCGCTTATTTGCAACGACAGACAGCCAGGAGTGGCGAGACGTGCAGGGTGTGATCCGCACCATCTTTCAGGCGACGATTCTGCAGGTATGATATGCGGATATGCTTCATGTGGGCTGAGGATGTAAAAGGATGTTCGTTGAAGGATTTGGGGTTGTCGGATCTGAGGTGTTTCTGTGTGCAGAAGCCGAACAGTGAGGAGCAACACCGTCATAGTAACCTTAGTCATCTTCAGGCTTGCGGCAGAAGCGAGCTCAAAACTAGTCATGTCAGTTAAGAGTTCGTTTACTGTCACCTTGCTGGAAGTAAGTTGAGGCTACGGGAATCATGGCGTGCGTGCAGTTTCGACACAAGCCGTATAGGTCTGGAAGAGAGGCTTGGGCATGTCTAGACAAAGACCGTGACATCAGCTGCGCTTGCGTGCCAGGCTCTGTGCGACGTGGCACATGCACAAAGCAATGCAGTGCGCGAAGCGCGGCCCCTACCAGACTTTGCATTCGTGGAGTGAGGGGTTAGGATCTGAGGGAGCAGCAGAAAATGTACTGAATCAATGCTTGGCGCACCTCCGCGTGGAGCCAACGATTCTGTGTCAAAGCCAGCAAGCTTGAGTTGGCTTCAGAAGCCACCAACATCCAGCAACTAAGGCATGCCACAGTTACTGTTTTTATCGCTGAAATTTGCGCGCAGGATATGTGCCGGACATGCTTATTAATAGATACGGGTTTCGATAATTACCAAGACTATTTTGGGGGTTCCTTATTATACTCCGAGTAGAATATGCCCCCGAACCGTATTCTGTTTATTAAAGACCACATATTTCGGACACAAGGCAACCACGAGCATGTTGCTGCTGATTTGGAGAAGCCAACGAACCAAGGCGACACAATCATTCCATGCATCATTGTTCGCTATGCTGGTAAGAGCAGGCCAGCCACGCATCAAGGTAGTTCTGAACAACTTGTTGGCCCAGGCCATCCACACATCATCACCATCATCATCATCATAATCGTCATCATCATGACCACCGTCATCATCATTTGCTCTAAGGTCATGCTGTCAAGTTGTCTTTGGCCAAGTCAGTTACACATAATCAGCATCTTTGCAACGGTTGTCTGGAAGCTTTTCAGAAGGCCAGGCATGCATCATCAGCATCATTTGTCGCAGGCTTTTTCTGCAAAGTGTTCGGAGACCAAGCCACCCTAGCATTTATTTCAGGCTCTTCTTGGAAAGCTTCCGAAAACCTGACCAGCCAGGCAATAGCATCTGTTGTTCCAAGGTCTTTCTAGAAAGCAGTCCACCACACATCAGCCCTGAGGATATCTGCATAGTTACAATACACCAGGCCAACCATGCATCATCAGCATCAAGGTAGTTCTGAAAGGCTTCCCAGACCAGGCCATCCACACGCATCATGTTCATCATCAGTTTTCTGCAAAATTCCCTAAGGCCCAGCCAGCTCCGCATCATCAGCGTCATGTGTTCCAAGATGTTTATGCAAAGTTTCTGAAGACCAGGCCAGCCAACCAGTTGTTCCAAGATTTTTCTGAAAAGTTTCCAGACATCAGGCTAGCCACGCTCATCGGCATCATTTGCTCCCAGTTTTTCTGCACCTATTGCAAAGACCCAGCCACACATCGTCGGCATCGTTTGCAACAAAGCAGGTCAGGAAAGCTTAAAAGACCAGGAAGCCACACATCTTTAGCATCATGTGCTCCAAGGTTTTCCTGCAACGTTTCTAAAGACCAGGCCAGCCCGAATCAACAGCATCATTCGTTCAATGAATTTGCAGGGAAGCTTCCAAAGGCCAGGCCGGCTGCCCATCATCAGTTTCATTTGCCAGAAAGTTTTGATAGACAGCTTTCGATTACAACGACAGCCACGCGTCATAAGCATCATTTGCTCCAGCTTGTTTCGCGAGTTTCTCTGTCCAGGCCATCGACTCATCATTAGCAGCAGTTGCGCCAAGTGATTTTCTTGTCGCTTTGGTCGCAATGACCAGTTACAAGTATTCGGCCAGCACGTATCGTGAGATATCGTGAGCACCACTGGCGCCAAGGTTTTTTCTGGAAGGCTTCTTAGACCAAGCGATCCACACATCAGCAGTATCATGGCTGTATCCGTGGTCACCGTGGTCCAAGATATTTCCGCACAAAGCCACGCATCCTCAGCATCATTTGCTGAAAAGGCTCCGCCGGAAAGTTTTCATTCACCAGGCCGGCCATACACATAAAATCATTCGCTCCAACGGCTTTAAGCAAAGATTCCAAAGACAAAGCCGGCCACGCATGAGCTGCATCATTTGCTCAAGGAGGGGCCTTCTGCAAAGTTTCCAAACCACAAGTCTGCCACGCCTCGTCAGTTGCTCAAGGGGTTTTCTTGCAAAGCTTCCAATCACCAAACCGACCAAGCCAGCCACGCGTAATCAGCATCATGTGGTCCAGGTCTTCCTGCAAAGTTTCCAGAAACCCCAGCCACGCATCATCAGCGACATTTGCTCTAAGGATTGTTTGGCAACTTTTCACTGGGCTTTTTCTTGAAAGTGTTCACTGCCCAGGCCAGCCATCATCAGCAACACAATTTGCTGCGCGGTTGTTTTTTCTCAAAGGTTCCGAAGACCAGACCAGCCACGCATCATCAGCAGTGTTTGCTCCAACTTGTTTTCTGCGGCTTTCCGCACCGAGGCCATCCACGCATCATGTGCATAATTCGCTCGAAGACATTGACCAGTCATCATCAGCACTCGTGCTCCAAGGTTTTGTTGCATAGTTTGCACACATTCGGCCAGCCACGTATCATGAGGTTTTTTGAAAAGCTTAGTAGACCAAGCTATCCAGCTATCCGCACACTAGCAGCATCATTGCTTTTATCATTGGCCCAAGGTGTTTCTTCGCACTTTCCAAAGACCCAGAAAGCTGCGCATCATCAGGATCACGTGCTCCAAGCTTGCTGGCGAGTTTTCATTGCATTGATCAGGCCAACCATGCATCATCAGCATCGTTTGCTCCCAGATGTTTGTGCAGAGTGTTTTCACAGACCAGGCCAGCCACGCATCATCAGCATCATTTGTTCCAGTGTGTTTTCAGTTCAAAATTTCCAACGATCGAGCCACCCACGCATCATTAGCATCAGTTGCCCCAGGATTTGCAGCAAAGTTTCCAAAGACCCGGCAAGCCACGCAACATCAGCATCATTTGCTCCAAGAGTCTTCTTGTTTCAAAGCATTCAAAACCAGGCCAACCACGCATCATCAGCATCATTTGCTC